AAAAATAAGGGGTGGGCTTATACTCGAGGACTACCTTAGAAAAAATAATTTCTTGGTGCGTTTAAAACTGTAACCATCTTTCCAGCCTCAAAACATTATCCAAATTCCATTTTTCGTTCACAGCGCCGGTCGCGGGGGGAATATTACGTCTTTTTGAGAAAACAAAAATGCGAAACGAACCGTCATTGATTTCAACGACGCTTACAATGAAGAAACAAATATGAACAAAAAACAAAAATTTGATTACAATACGGTTCACATACCATCTGAATTTACGGTGCAAAAATGGGTAGAGTCTGTGGGAAAACGATCGAAGGCAAGATCGTACGCAAACTCTCGATACAAAGCTATTTCCGCCATGGTTTCATCGTAATTTGAACAAGTCACGTTTTTCGTTAACCAATGAAAATGCTCTGTCATACAGTCGAAGTTTTCCGATTATTGACGAAGTATTTTTATCAATGCAATGCAGTAGTGTATTACCGCGATGTTAAAATGCGATCTGTTAACACTGATTTCAACAAAAAACGACTACTTTTTTTGCTAAAAGCTGTTGATTTGCAATTTTCGAAAGGTAAACTGAGGGTGAGGGAAGTATTTAAACCTTTCACGGCTGCCAACAAATCATGTCGAAGAATAGTTTGCTCTTTCACACCCCATTCACGATAGTCTCAATGGACAAGATTATTCGGAAAGGTAACACGATGATAGTGACTAGGTTTCACGACTTGACGATCACATTTTTGCTATTTGGAAAACTACTACTCAAAAGAAATATGGATTATTTCAGTATTGCAACATCGGGGTTCATCCCGAGTAAATAACAAAATAGAGAACGTGCGAACTATGTGACGTTCGCCTGCCGTGCACTCTGAAATTTATGCGAATTTTCTCATAAAAGCTGGAACCAAACTACCGTACCAATCATGATTTTTATGCAATGAAATGCACTTTTTACACGCATATTTTAATAAATGTCATTGACGCCAGGTAAAAACACCCTGGGCTTATACTCGGGGATGCCCTCAACTGGTTAAATGCCCAAAACAGAGGGGTGGGCTTATACTCGAGGAGGGGCTTATACTCGGGGAAGTACGGTATAATACTTGTTGTTTATACCATACTTAAACAAACTAAATTGACATGTTCAATCTTTTCATGTACAAATAATCTTTTGTATTCAATGGGAATTCATTTTTGCAAATGGTGCAAGTGGACTAGGCATTAATTCTAAAAATGTCACCCAGCCAATGGACCCCTCCCACCACATTAATGAAATTGAACTTGATGTCTTGCAGATTCCCAATTGAAAGAGGTTTCAAAGAAACGTTATAAATCTAGTATGGCTAATGAGATCTGCTACGCTGTACTCTGTGTTTTCTCCTATGTCGCCGCTGCTAGAAGTGCCGAAAACAATCGTAAAGAACTTGAGGCCAAGATGGCGATAAAGCGTCATGAATATTTACAGGAACTGTAGAACGCTTAGCTTCACGTAGTGTGTATTTCATGGTGAGATGTCTGCGATGCCAAAATATCAGTGATGGTTGCCTTACTATATTGTCTGGGAATATAGAATAGCAGCCTCAGACATCATCATGAAATATGATAATTTATATGGTTGTTATATATATGACATAAAACTGATGTCACTGCAATTTAATGGCGATATTCACAGGGCTTGGAAATCATGAAACCAATGATTCTCTGCAAAAAAAACAAAAAAAAAATTAACTTCACTGCTACAACTAATTTCAATTTCAAACTATTTTCGCAGAATTTTGAAAAATTTGCCTTGCAAAATAAAAGTGGTTCAATCTATTTTGTAACTGTGTAAAATGCATGCCTTTTTGAAAATGATTGTCAGTGATATAGTTAAACATTTAGGAGTAATTTTTTGAGTTTTATGTGTGTACATGTGATATGAACTCAGAATGAATTTTTGTTACTTTTTAACAGTCTCCTCATATTGGGTGCACCCTGACAACACCCATTAGATGTAATCAAAATGTTACCTGGGATAAGTAGTATTATTGGGTACACTTGATTTGTTTGAGTTGGTGCAATCACGTCTAAAATCTCTCCCTTTGTGGCGCCATATTCGCTGGGAAACGGTGTGTCCTTCAGGCCGAGATGACACGCCACTGTTGCAATAAAATTTTGCTGTGTGCTAACTCACTGGCCCAACAGAAATTATGACTTTGAAAAACATCTTCCTATAGTTTTTATTGTAATTTGGTAAAATGAAATTCACATTGATGAACAAAATAAGTATAAAAACAAAGGAAATCAGGGACCACAGCATTTTTGTTTAAAATCACGCAAGACCGACCTCCCCAGCTGTCAACAAGCTAACTCAACTTGATTTTTGGGGGTTCCATTTTGACTGGGTGGGGCACACTGATAGGGAACATGTGACATATGATCAGGACACTCAAATATGTATAGTTTAGCAATATTTACAATGCATGCTATAAAACAATTCATTCCACTGTAATGAACATATATATATGCTAGAAAGAAAGAAAGGTCTTGTATATGTTACCGGTAGATGTATTAATATAGTAAATGGCCTTAAACTGATGTCACACCTGTTATACATAATTTCACATATGTCTTGTGATCAAGCAAACGCTGATGATACTGACAGACTAGAAATATATTGACTCCCTGTTTAGATCCAAGATAAGATTTGTTGCGTAACATGAATCCATGTATATTTACACTTCAATATGTGCAATAGTATCAACTCTCATTTCTTTCATTCATTTTTAGACTTGCATTGAGCTATGTCTCAGGTCAATTATATAATGCGTTTACTTTTCACAGTGTCAAGTTTATGTAAAATTGAACGGATTTTCCATGGAAGTTTTATTTATTTCTATTTTTTTTACGTGTTTGAACACATGTTGCTCTTCAAATCTATTTTGACTGTTGAATGCAGTTCTTGTGAAAAAGAAAAATTGATTTCTATACGTGCAACAGGTTGAACTTACAATAGGGCGTGTTCGTGTTAGGTGGGGTGGGGTGCAATAATCTGAATTTTTGAACAGCACCCTCTATAGTTTGTATCAAGAGTTTCCTTTTATGTATCTGGTGAGATCCTGATGCATGTGTTTGCATATGTGAGATAAATTTACATATTCCATTTTTTTTTCAAGCTGGGTATTTTCACTGGCGGGTGAAAATAAAATCCATGAAAAATAGTCTGTGAAAACCATTATGAACAGATTGTTAGTTATAATAAATAAATACACATTTATCTAGAGGTAGACGATAGTATCATACATTCAACTGTGTTTACATTGATGTACAGTCGGTGTATCGGTCATCCTCGCCAAACGATTATAGCAAACCAATAATGTATTATGTATTCAGCATTCCATGCAAAATGTACAGTGTTATTAATTTTTTTATAATATTTTCATAGAGTTGATACAGTGTATGAAATCAGTTTTACGTGGAATGGGCAGTTTAGTGCTGTCAATAGTTAATTTTAAAAGACAGTTTCATAGGATTCGTAGCGGGCCCTACAATGTCAATTACGTGGTTACAGATGACATTGTGCAGTTTTGGTTTAGTTGTATGTTATAGAAATCAACACCAGTTTATTTTAGTCTGGGGGGGAAATGTTAATGAATCGTATGTTGCAAAGATGGGAAAAGTGTAATAGATTGAGGGTGGGGCTGGGTACGGTGTACGGATGGTATTTGTAATTATAGAAAACAAATTTATACCCAAGTGACAATTTAGTGTTTTATAAATATATATATATGAAAAAGTATTTACACTGTTATCATAACAACTAATATAGAAATTGTACATACTATGCATGAGGTATACTTGTATGTGATTGTAGTCTATTATGCAATTAGCTGAATAATATGAATTGTGTGTCGGTGTTTTCATGTCTAATACGTCCTGTACTTAATGATGTAATATATCCTCTGTATTATTTATTCGGTCTGCGCTTTTCTTTGTACTTCATATTTAGAACTAAGGTCATCTTAGCAAGACCACTTAGTTTAGTGGTAATTAACAGTTTGTTTGTATATGATGTTAATAAAGTAAACATGATTACTAAGTGTACTTACTGGTCTATCTCAGTAATTTCCATGGTTACATGTCTACTATTTTTATGAAATATTTAGTTATAGGGGGTGTATCTCGCATGCATGTTCATGGCTGAATTTCTATAACTTTCCTGTGATGAAGCACTGATGTGACGTCAAAATATTATAGACTACATCAAATCACTGACTGTGGGTGGCTGTGTAGTCGAGTAACCAATTTTATAATTAATGTTTGCTTTACAGTACTCCTTTCCCCGAAATAAGCCAAATTTCTGAAATGTTTACAAAACCTATCATAATTCTGTTTTGTGAAGTATGATTGGCTGGAAACCGTTTTCCTTAAATTTAATAAGATTATGTTTTGTAATTAACACTAGAAACGTGTGCTATGAGTAAACACTAGGAACACCTGTTTATGCATAGGAACCTAAGTCGGTATGTGTGATCATGTAATGGGTAATTTCCTCGTATTTCAAAAAATATTAATACAATTC